AGGCTGAAGAAACACTTTTGGTTTAAAAATATGCTTGCTCCTTAACAATGTGTAGACTTTCATCTGCTTACCAATGAAACAGGAAGGAGGCTCAGAGAATTAAGAGCTGCTGATAGTTTAGGAAAAAATCTTTATTGCTCACATATGGCCATGTGCCTTCGCCAAACTCTGGGACAGTACTTGTTTTCCTTGCAGGAGGCATTGCTGAAAGTCATTGCTTCTTAGCATTAAGTACTTCTGATTTTTACAGCAAGACTTGCCATGAATTAACATATTATTCTCTCCTCTGAGTGTGTGCAAGATTGCTGCTGCTTTTTCTGGGCTAAATTGATAATCCTTGATTCTCTTGAATCTTCTCCATGAACTTACTAAGCATTGAAAGATGAAACAGTTAAAGAGAAATGCATCTTATTCGAAGGAAAAAAACACGAGGTTTGTTCTAAGAAAGTTTAAGGGGTTTTCATTGTTTTGGTTTTGTTTTTCCTTTTAGCAACAGAGTAATAGCAGTAGATGCTTCTGAAGGCATGGGAACCCTGTTGATGCCCTGCTGGTGCAGACTTCTGACAAGTCCTAGCTTTTCTTTCCTTTTGACTCAACCTTCTGTAAACGTCAGCACGCCAAACTCTCGCTTTCAATAATTCATGTGTTTTCAACAGAATGGAAATAAAAATGTTTTTCTAGCTTCCGTTTATTCTAAACCAGGCTTTAGAGCTGAAAGAAAAATCCCTGCCCAAAGAATTCATTATTCACCTCTATCAAGAGCAAGAGTGGTACAGACTAGAATTTGGCTTTGTGGACTGTTTAAATAATCATTTTAAGGACCATCAGGAGTAGATTGAACTGGAAATGATGACTGATCGCAAAATCCAGTGTATGTACTTGGAAGTTAGCTACTGGAAAAATCTGTGATAGGCACAGGTTTTAATTTAAAATTTTGGAGATATTTCTTAAATATATACATAATTCATGACGAAAATGTGAATTATTTTTCTGGGACAGTGACGTGCTTAGAAGACTGTAACTGAAGGAATTAGTCATAAACTTTTACCTCATGGAGACTGAGGGATACAGTGAAAAAAAGTTAATGGCTTCAACCTGGAATCCATGTAAAAATTTAATAAAATAAAAGCAGAGCAACAATAAGGTTAATTCTGAAGGTGGAACCCAATCTTCAGTGTTGCTATAATCAGATTCCCACGTATGATTATTCAAAGTGAATAGAGGTGAAACGTTTCCTGTTTTGATTTAAGGCTGCTGAGATAGATTTCTGCCATTACAGTGTTGGATGCAACCTGTCCTGCTTTTGAAAGCCCTCGTTACCCTGATGGAGGAATCCCTCTGAGGTTATTGCAGAACCTGCTGCTATTCTGGGATGAATAGTGACAACCCTGCAGCCAAGGAAAGCTAAAATTAAAGAAGGTAGAAAGAAGGGGTCAGTGAGATTCGAAAAGGATTCTAGCATGGGAGGATCAGGATTTTCCATGGAAACGTGGAGCTGGCAACATTGGCTGAAACCAGGAAGCACCTTAACTGGCCAGGAGTCACCTATTTTCAAGAGTCACTTATGTTTTTCCTCCTTTATGCTAAGCTAAAGGTGCGGGCTGTCACTTTTTCTGCTGGATATGATGGTGGGTGAGCCTAAGGGGCGTCATACCAAGGGGTGACGCTGTTCTGGTCACAGGGAGCCTTTCCACCATTCAGAGGCTCGTTCTTCCCTTCTCTGTCTCCAGGGCGCAGGAGACCTGGTTGCACAGCAGGGATGAGGGCCAGTGTCCTTGTGGGTCTCCGTTCCCGCCCCATCGGGGGCACGGTGGTGGATGGAGCAGGGTAAAGGCAGAGGGATGTCGAGCCAGCCAGTGACATCCAGGGACCCCTTTTTTCTATCCATTTTTTCTATATGTACGCACAGTTATTTCAGGTATTAACTTTCAGATATTGTAAGTGCGCCTAGAAAAATGCTTTTTGATGCATCTTCGTGATTTCCTTCATTTTTGCCAGTTCTGTATTGGCACAAAAATAGTAGTGATTCTCTTTGTGAGTCACTTCTGATAATAGACAGGTGAATGGGCCAAGTTTTAAAAGAAATCATAATTCTTTCCCTTAATAGCGAAGATGGAATTTGGGAACTGAGGTTCATTTTTACCATTATAGTCCTAATACCAAGAATAGTTCAATTTCTGAATATTATAGCCTAATTTTTTTGTTGCTATAATTGCATGTACAGTTTTAACTCCTGACAGGAATGGCAAAAACGGAATATGGAGAAAACCATTAGATTTTCTAAAATATACTTTTATTTCTGAGAAGTTAATGTATACAGTTTTGCAAAATTTACTTTATGTAGAAAGGATTTCACTGAAGGTCTGTTTCTGTGTTTGTTTGCAAAACTGCTCGTTTACAGCAAGGAAATGGGTTTTGAAGTCTGCCTTTCTTTCTTAGATCTTGCTGATAAAAAGATTCTTCTGCTAAGACTAACTTAATTCAAAGCAAATTGTATGGTGACAGTTATAATTTTGGCACCCAGTGCTTTGCAGTGCATTAGTAGCCAAATAACCTGTACTTTATTTTTAAAACTGAAACTGAGGAATAAACAAGAAATAGTTTTGCCAAATGATATTTGACTCCATGCTACCCACATATCAAACTCCTGCTCTGATGTAGCATCACCCATGGAAGAAAATGTTACTGCAATTATGGCTGCAAAACCCATGATAGAGAACAACCTTGCAGGCCGTTTCAAACTTTGGTCCTAAACAGTTATAACATTTGTCATTTTTAAGTCAGAAAATTTATCTTGCATTTAGGTTGTGCAATCTAGAGTTCAGGCATCTCTTTGCCTGTGTTCCTTTGGCACCCCTGCGTAGTGCATGCCAGCAGCGTTGAGCTTGGTTACGCCGCCTTCCCCAAAATGTCCAAGTGGTCAGAGCATTTGCCCGGGAAGAACCAAGACCGAGGCTCCGGGTCCCACTTTCCTGACCACGTCCTCGCTGTGGGATGTGAACTTTCTGCTCATCCTGTCAGGGCATTATTGCTTCATGCTCAGGAGCCCAGGAGTCATGGGGTCAAAGGGAGAAAGTTGCCAAAGATCCTGAAATTCCCATGGACTTTCATGGGGGCGTGCTGCACACTGAAGCGCAAGTGCCACAAAGCTAGCTAGGGCCTCTTCCACTGAGGAAGGGTGATTTGAAAAAAGGTATTTTCATTTGCAACTTTGAAGCAGAAGTTGCATTTGGCAAAAATATTGTGGAAGTATTTTTAAACTTTCTAGTGAGACTTTTTGGGGAGTGGGGGCAGTCAAGCTGGAAAAGTAAAAGGTCCAGTGACTGTTTCCCAATTCATCTGCAGCTGCAAAATTATTTTCTGTGCACATAGTGTAAAAACTTCTTCCTAAATATGAGGTTTAGGGACCCTTTGGGAGTAATTAACTGTAATGCAGAAGCAAATCTGGGTTCATTGTACACACTGCTCATTTCAGGAATGTTTTTCTGCACAAGGCCCATTAGCAAGTTTCCAAAACCTCCATGAATGTTAGACATTTTACTGCAGGACTCTGATCGCTTCTTATTTTACATAAAATCTAATGTAATTCCATAAATTGCATTTAGCTTTTGATCCCTGGATAGCAAATTGCTGAATCACATGTCTACTTAACAATATATCTAAGGGCTAAAATCTTACCTTTAAAAAAAAAAATTTTTTTTTGACGGTGATACAACAATTCTATTCCTGCAGCCTATATGAAACTTGAGAGGGATATGCTCAAAACAAATTGCATACTATTTTATTCAACTCACTGATCTTGTTCCATACACCATATATTTTCTATGTTGTTATCTTAAGTGCTTTATTTTTGTACTTTTATTCCTACCCTGCACACTGCAAAGTTTTCTGTTTTATTAGGATGATGATTCTGATCTGGTGGAAATGAATAGCTTCTGTTTTTATCCGTAGTACAGCAGTGGCAGTCAAAAAAAAAAAAAAAAAAAGAGTTCCGGAGGATGTGATTTAGCCAAGACTGGGAATAAGTCCCCTCTGCTTCAGTGGGTGTATGCATGTGCCTGATGTTAAGAATGTGTTTAATTTGCTGAATAAGGTCAAGGCATGAGGTTGGTGGACTCCTTGAGAGGCAGCTGCATGATGTGGTCTGGCCTGTGTCACGTGGGCAGTCAGAGCACAGATACCCCTGTGCTCTCACTGTCAACTAATTTGAGAAGAAGCATAAATCATGTGAGATGCTTGGAGGAAATCTAGGCTACAGCCCAAGTCTGGGAGCAAGCGGCTGATACTGGCTTGCTGCTTGCTACTCCTGGAGTGTGGGATTGAGGTGGCATGGGAAGGACTGAAGAAGAGCATAAGCAACTATTCAGCTCTTAGGAATGTTTGTCTTTTCTCTTCTGCACGTGCCTGTGGTGTTTTTGGAGATGCTGACAGCAGAGTATTGTATGATACACCTTGCACATACTGAGTTTTATATTCCATGCATTTCCCAATGTAAAAACCAGCTATGGTCTCCTTCATTAAGACAGAGTTCAACATTAACATCTGAGTATTTTTTAGGGCACCTGTGCTTTATCTGAGACTATGCAAGACGTAGGCCAACATTTCCATTTAAGGTGGTAGTTTCCGCTGGGCTCTGGCTGTGCTAGCTGGATTGGCTGGAATTTTGTGCAATTACTGTTTTACACAGAGCCAGAGTGTCTGTGAAGTGGCTATCAATTGAAACATATTTAGCTCTTCAGACTTGCTTTTGCAGGTTTCACAAAACATTTAATTAGTGATAATCAGCTTTTAACCAGCCAGAGCACACTGATGTGATTCTCTCCCTCTCCCCCCCATAACTGTAAGCATAGTCTGTGCCCATAAGATAAGTTACTCGCAGTCTGGAGAATGCCCTAACCGGCAGGAAGGGAGAGACTAAGAAGGACATTTGCATGAGGGTAAAGAACATTTGGGGTAGACTGTGATTTCAGTGAAGAACACAGTTTTTCTTTCCTTTTCAGAATGTTGGACCTGGAAACCAGCTGGAGAGTGCAAAGTTTCCTTCCCCTCGAGGCTGCTGCTCAGTGGTCGTCTTCCACCATACGAGAGGAACCTAGAAGAGCTCTGCTCTGACTTCTGGAAGGTTTGTTCCACGATGGAAGATCAAAAGATTTTCTGGCTCTGGCTTTGTGAAATTCGGCATCTGCCTTGGACCTGCCATTTGGAAAAGGGATCGTCTCTGAGGCACAGTTAAGAGACAGGAGAACCGGTCTCAGACGATGAGCACTTTAAGTAGCACTGGAATATTAGTCAGCTTAACGACAGTGTCTGTTACACTGGATTTTAGTTTGCATGGTGGTCTCATGGCTTGGTCCTTAAGCAGCAATTTGACTCTGAATCAGAGTTTGCCTACGTCTGATCCTCTTAATGCCTCTGAGAAGGAGGATGTCTCTCGGATGTCCGTAAGGGAGAAGAACTGGCCAGCCCTCCTGATCCTGGTCGTCATCCTGCTGACCATTGGGGGCAACATACTGGTAATTATGGCTGTGTCCTTGGAGAAGAAGTTGCAGAACGCCACAAACTTCTTCCTGATGTCTTTGGCGGTGGCAGACATGCTGGTGGGTATCCTGGTCATGCCCGTGTCCCTCATTGCAGTCCTGTACGGTAAGTGGCTTCCCTCCTTACTCAGCTGTGTGCTTTTGCGAGCAGGGCGCCCCCAGGCTGCAGGACCCCTCGTCACCTGCTATCTTGCGTGGTGGTGGCTGAAGGAGCGTCAGTGCAAGCTTTGCATGGGGCTCTGCTGGGTGTGGGCAACGCTCTGCTAGGAGCAGAGCTCCTTTCCGTGCTGCCATGAATGACCTGCAAATGTAGCCAGCATTGGGCTTCAGTACCAAGACTGCCCTGAGAAACCCCAGCTGTGAGTTAGCTTGGTTGAACAGCCCCAAAATTAGCTAGGACAGAAGAGCTTAGGGAAAAGCTGAGCAGTGTATTTGCAACAGGCCCACTTCTAAGGTTGGAATCAGCCCTTGAACTTCCATCCATATCTATGGGATTCAAGCAGTGGGTTAGTCAAGAGAGGAGGTTTGTGCTGGTTGGCTTGGTGCTCAAATAGAAGTCTTAGCTCGTGGCAGTTATTACCTGGGCTCACCCTTGAAGTCCTTTCACCTTTCTGTGCCTCCGTTTCCCTGTCTCTAAACTGAGAGTGATGCCCTTTGAGACTAACGTGAAGGGGGTGAGCATTTCTCACTGTGACCCTCTCCTGCTGACTCTCACCGATTTGCGCGCTATGTTCAGTATGTTGCTGTTGTAGTGAGGAATTTATACTGCACCGTGGTAAAGACCCTGGGTAGAACTGCTGTTAGCGCTCCAGAGGAGTAAAATATCAAACGCATCCTCCTTTCTTGTCTGTCTGAGACTCTGATTTCTCAGCGTGGTGCTAGGACCCAGCATCCATGATATTACAAAGGGGTACTGCACTCGCCCCTGGATCTTTGTACGTGTGCACGTGTCGATATAACGTGCGTGCATTTAATATGTAGCATTTAATCATTTCTGAAGTCTGTTTTCTGATTCTCTTTGAAAAGTATTTTAATATTGATATTTCTTGGGAACAAATAATGCTGCTTACTTACAGATTTGATTAGAAATTGGTTTACTGTCCTATAAAGTAAAAAGCAGGGATATTTATGTGACTTCTTCACTTGCCTAAATGATTAAGTCAGACAGAGATTCATTTCTTAAATTCACTGATCAAGCATACATAATTCCAAAGCTTATATAAGCTGTCTAAAGTGAGATAAATCAATATATGATTTAGATACAGACATAGCCATTGAGATATTATGCATAAAGTCTTTTATTTTCGGTTGTCAGAATAGTTCCATCTCTAAATATTCTGTATATTATAATACATGTATTTTATTTTTAGCATTTTACTCTGATTTTCTGGAGCTTGCAAGGGAGCATATAAATAGTGAATGATTTGATTGACCTGCACTTCCATAAATTCTGGGTTAAAAAGGTGAATTTATGTAAGTGATCTTCCTTCATACATACTTTCAGAGTCTTTTGAAACTGAGGGAAATGGATTTTCTGTTGTACCTAGAAAATGATTACTTAAGGTCATTTAAAGGTGTAAAGCATGCTGCATATTTAAAAGGCAAGTAAATATCATTCATCTGAAGAGGAATTGCAATTACGTCTTCCTCTACTAGAGCACCAGTGTTAGTGACGCAAATACTTCTCTGCAGGCAAACTACTTTTAAATAGATTTTTGGCAAAACTTTTGATTTTGGAACATGCATGGAAAAATTGTGGAAATACTGTGAGAAACGGGGATAGCTGCTAGTTCAGGGAGCGGTTATCTCGGCCGGGGGCCGAAACTGTGGGTGGCAGTCTCGGTGGGGGCCGTGCCCCCTGCCGCTGGCTCTGCAGCCCTCGCCGGCAGGAGTGGCCGTGTGGCACTCGGGCTTTGCCTGGGAACCAGAATAAACCCCCTCTGGAGAAAAGTGGAGCCTGGCAAGGGAGCCTCGGGGGAACTGGTGGACCGATATGTGTAGGACCCCCGTGCAGTCACTGTTTCTCTCTTCTTCTATACTATTTAAGCTGCTAATTGTGTAATGAAGCAGTCAGGTGGAGTCACCTCTCCAGCAGCGAGGTGAGGAGGCTGTCAGAAGGAGCAAAGAAAGTCTGTCTCCTCTCCCACGTCATTACTTGCTAGTTCCTCCTGGGTATCTTCACTTGCTTTGACATCCAGAAGCGAAAGGGCATAGTCCGAGAGAGGACCGAAGGAAATAGAATGAGGTTGTGTCAAGGGTGCAGCTCATCTTTAGTCTTCCAAAACATGCAGTTGGGCCCCTTTTCTGAGCAAAACCGTTTAATGCGTAGGACTAATGAGGCACTTCAGCCACGCCAGCATTTGATTGGTTGTGATCTGGAGGTAAAAGACACATGCATGCAAGAGCATTGAGAAGAAGCAGGATAAAGCTGCTGTTTCTTACCGTGTACAACTTGTAGCAAACACAGTCTTGGCTTCCTCAGGATCCCATGTGCTGCTGGGGCTGGCATCATCCAGCTTTTCAAAGTCTTACACAAATTTCTAGCTTTGGCAGGGGGAGGAGGCAGGAATCTTGTATATTATACTGAGCTTGATGGATTGGTTATTGCAGTGCACGATAGCAGCTGGGAAGTTCTTGACAGAACTGCAACATTAACAAATGCTCTTATTACGACCCCAAAACTCCAGAGCTACATCACTTAGTCTGTGTCTACTTTGTATAGTGCCGTTAAGTAGTAGCTTTCCACCATTACACACGCACAAGCTGTGAGGACAAAATCTGGTCTCCTGCATAACACAGGGTTTCTTGAGTTAGTTTCCTTTGAGCCATGCCTTTGAGCTATACTTTTTTGGAAACTGGCTCTTCTAATAGCGCTTTAGATACTATAGTGGCCAGTAGGAATTGGACTTTTTCATGTTTTCCAAGTGACAGAGATCAGGAAATCCAAGCACGTGCAATGCTTTAGTAGGTCTTGTATTCTACTTGACATGGGAGCACGCTAACCAGTCTTAGTGATTAAGGAAAAGTTTGATGAGTATTTACGCTTCAGCAGAATACTGCTGACAGTAACTGAGGTTCCTGGCCATGGACGGAGTCGGGGAGGGAGCTGCTGCTTGGAGATGTGATTGTGAATTTTCAGTCATTTCTATTCTATATTGTAAACTGTGAATTCTGGATATTCTATATAATGACAATGGGCAGTTTCAAAACCTGTCACGTCCTGCACAGTTGAAATGTATGCAACAGATCTCTGCTGGATTTGTAGAAACCATTTCTGATGTATGTAATCAGAAAGGAACCTATAAAATACATATGTAAAATAGTAAATAGACGAGTGATTAAGTTACTTCTCAATTTCCACATCAACGCTCTCAGACCGAATGATAAATTCTAATTTGTGGAGTAGATTCATTTCCTTAATTTTCATCTAATGATGTAGATGAAGTACATTTCACTGCAAGCATAACCAGAAAATTCAATAGACATCCTCCACAAAGATGACTTTTTTTTTTCCTTTTAAATTAAAAGAAGGAAAAATCAAGTTGTCAGTTAGTACCAGAACCTTATTATAAAGGAAGTGATGGCAGGATGCATCATGCTGGATTTTTCACCAATTAGTCAGTGCTCTGACATATTTATAAATGAGTCTTTCTTAAATGACTTGGACTAACAGATGAGTTGCATTTGACAGCTTAGAATGTTTTCCATGGCATGCAATGCCTAAAAATTTAAACAAATTACTTTGCTAATTAATAAACATGTATCTGGGAGAGTAAACGAGAAATGAACACTCTGTTTAATCTCGATGGAGAATCTTCTGGTGTAACCAAAGATCCTGGTGCGAGCTGTGAGGGCATCAGCTACTCTACACGTAATGGAGCTTCGGACAACCTGCGGGGAGTCTCCCATTCCCTTGGGGCATGGTAGGGAAAAGTAGCCGTGGTGGTTTGTATCCTACCGAGCGGTTGCAGGCAAGAAAAAGACAGTCTGGGCCTTTTCTTGCATTCTTTTGCTAATCGTGGTGGACAATCTCCTCAGCTGTTCCTAGCGGAAATTATGGACAGTATTAAACTGTCTTGACTCGAACCAATCCAGACAAATCGGTTCGCGCCTGCCAGCAGCGAGTTGCCGAGCGTGGCCAACAAGTGGTCAGCGCGCTCGTCTGTGACTCTAGGTGTCCAGATTTCCCCGGTCCCTGGGAGTCTGGAAAACCAGCTCAATGCCGGCGGCCCGACCCGGCTTCCGGGCCGGCTGGTATTAGCTGCAGCGTCCACTAGCACCAACTGCTGGAGCAGCTTCCC